ATTATAAATGTAAATTCTATATTATAAAATAAAGTTGTGACATGATCGTCAAAAAAAAAAAAAAAAAAAAAAAAATTCAAAAACAGGATAAAATAATTAAAGAATTATGCAATTGAATTTTATTTTATCAGCTATATTTTAAAAAATCATTTAATCTTGTTCACAATTTATATGAGCAACAGCAAATAGTAAATTAAGCATATGAAATTGTGAACAATTTCACTAATAAAACATATGTGATTAATCCAAATACACCTAATAAAAAAGATTCATCTTTACTAATTGTTAATCAAAAAGATAAAAATAAAAATAAAGAATCTGGTAAAGAAGAATTTGATAACTGGCTAAATTTTAATGAAGGAAAAGAGAAAAATTATTATTCTGATTTTTAATAAAATATGTAAAATTATTTTAAATATTTAATAAAATTTAATTTATTGGATATCTATTTCTGTTTTCTGTAATTTTATCATATATTGATTTGAAATTGATTCATTGTTGTTTTGCTTGTTCAAAAGTTCTTTTTTTGTTAATATAAAAATATTTAATTTTTTTTTTTTTTTTTTTTTTATTAATAATATAATGTCATAGTAGAAACTTTATTACAATAAATCTATATTAATCTAAGGATTAATAATCTTCTCGTTATCAAAAAGACTTGGGTAAGGAGGCAGATAAGTCAATTGAATAGGCTGTCGAATTTCTTCAACTCAGTACTAGCTAATAAAAAGAAGACATGTTTTTAGAAAAAAACTTCTATATAAATATTTCTAACTACATTCATGCTACAGAGCATTCAATATAATATTACACCTTCTATTTCCTATTTAATACTATTATTAATTTAAATGAATAAAAAAATTTTAGTTAGGATAGGTTGGAGAAAACCTTAAGGTGTTAATCATGACATTATAAAAAGCATGTTGTTAAGAAGAAGCCTTATAGATACCATTTTTCAATAGCATCATGTAGGTTTATTGGTTGTCGATGGGGTCTATGTGAATTTGTTGGGTTGGTAAGTAATAGAGTAGAGAATTTAATATGCTTGGTTTTGGGTATAATATTTTGGGTTATTTTCCATTTATGTTGAAAAGAGTTGCGTTCAGACTATATTTTATAGTAGAACCAATATAGAAGATTGTTGAAAAGATTAAAAAGTATAGGTTCTGTTTGTTTTTTAATTAGAGTTTTAACATTTTGATATAATGTTTTGGAGTATATTCCAAGAATAGTAGGGATGAGAGAGTTGTATTGTAAATTTAAAGAGTTGTTTTTAAATAGTAAAAGAGTATTAAGAAGTATAGTAGATTAAATAGATATTATTTGGAATTGTTGGAGTGTATTAGTAATTACATTAATAAGTGATTGTTGAATATTTTCAGTATTTTTGGGGCACAGAAGTATGTGGAGAGAATCTTTAGTTAAGAGGCATTTACAGCATTTGTTTGTTGTATATAGATTTAGGTAACGAATATTAAGATTTTGTATTGTTGAAAGATTATTTGTTAGAATTTTAATGTAAAAGGAGTATTCTTGGGAGTTATATTCTAGAGAGTTAAGTAGTTTGAAGGTTAAGTTCCAGTTTATATCTGAAGTATAGTTGTTAAAAAGTTTAAGGATATTAGTTCTTGAATTGTGATAATATTTTTGATAAAAGAGCATGCTTTGAATGTAATAATATAATTGTTTTAAGAAAAGTGAGTAGACAGATTAAAGTATGTATAAGAAAAGGTTAAGAGAGGTTTGGTAGAACCTTGTTTGGCAAGCCAATCAGCTTGATTGTGAAGAGAGTTAGTTGAGTGTGACTTTACTTTAATAAGATTAATAAGAATATTTTTAGTAGATTTAATAAAGTTAATAATAGAAATTATATTCTAGTTTTTAACTTGAATGAGTTTTTAATTGTTGTTAAACTATCTATAAGGATAGTAACTGTGAAGTTAATTGGGATAACAAGTAGCAAAGGAATAATTGCTATAAGTTCAGAGCAAGAAGAATCAGGGAAAGGAGTAATTGCTATATTAAACTTGATAGATAAATCATTTTCACAAATCCAGCCTATACTAGTTTGTATATTTGTAGATTAGAAATTTTGGAAGAAGCATCTGTAGCAAATTGAAGATTGTTTGAGTTTAAATTTAATATATTTTGATATATTTGAATAAGTTGGTTTTGATAATAAGAGGATTCGATAGTATAATATATTAAATATATTTCTTAAAAAAGAATATTGATTTGTGGTTGGCAGGGAGAAGAAATTAGAGGTAGTTTAAGGTTATTAGCAATATAGATAATAGCAAGGATTTCTCTGTAGTCAATTTGCAGTAAAGAATTATTAAACTTGATTTGTTTATATAGAAGGTTTATAAGCTTGGAGTTTGGTAATGGGTTAACAGATTCTATTAGATATGTTTGACCTTCAAGTGGTTCTGCTAATTGATATTTTTTATAAATTGAGGTTTGTTGATATTTGTTATAATATAAGAAAGTAATATTTTGATTATTGGAGAGCAGTTGAAAGAGGAAATTTGTATTTAATAAGGGAATTAGATCAGTTGTGTTAATAAAACTATTTACTGAAGGTAGTTAAAGATATGGCCATATAGTCTAGAGAGAGTTGGTTTGTGTTATTTGTAGGAGTTGAGTAAACCATGAAAGTTAATGGCCTTTAGTTGCTTTGTTTATACAGAGGTAAATATTATTCCAGAAAAGAAAAAATTTGTTGTTTGCTATTGTGATTTGTTCTATAAATAAAATTTTGTTGTTTTTAAAACTATTAAATGTGAGATTATTAGGGGTTAGAGGAAGTATATTATAAATTAAGTGTGTTTGTTCAGAAATAAAAGTGGAATAATTTGTAATTTGAGAGGGTAAAGATATTGTTATATTATTTCTTGCTAGTTGAGAAAGATAAAAGAGAAGAGTATAGTTTTGTGTTTTCTGAAAATTTGTAAAAAGTATTTCTTTAGTAAGTTTTGGAGACCAAATTTTTGATAACCAGGATTTGATTCGAAGAGTGCCAATACTATTGAGAAGTGGAGAAGTATTAAAGGTACATTCAGTATTGGATATACTAACTTTTTGAATTATGTTGGTAAAAGTAGACAAATTGAAAGTGAGTGAATTGGTAAGCGATCGATATATTGTTAGTATTTTTAGCTAATGAGAACATCTTTTTTGTTTGTATTGATAGTAGTCAAGAGAGTTTGGTTTGTATATTTTTTTAAATAGGTATAATTTGAAGAAGATATTCTAAAGAAAGTTGGAGTATAAGATTGAAAAAGGAGGATATTTGTGAGGGTAATAGTTTTTTATATTTGATAAGAAGAAGGAAGTTTTCTACTTTGTTGTATAGTGTATCAAGTGTTGGCTTGCTTGACCTTTTACCATCATAGAAAATGTCTAGATATCTAATTATATTTTTGGGTTTTCTGAGAGAAATTGTTTGATTGTTATAGAAAAATGTGTGATTTAATATTTTAGAGTTTTTGGAAAAGATATGGAGTAGATCATATTTAGTTGGATCAACTTCAATATTGTTAAGTTTGTATAAAGCAGAAGCATCATCGAGAATGTTTAGTAAGGTTTTTGGATGTTCACAGTGCCACACTGTATCATCTATATATGCTAATGGTGGAATTGTAACAGTGGTTGAAGGTGTGTTAGAAATTATTTCAAGTGGGAAAGAAGAAAAAATTTTTAGAAAATGCTCATTATATTTTTGAGATATGTAAGTAAGAATAGGATTATAATAAATTTTCTATAGCAAAGAAGAGTAAGTTTCTTCTTGTTTAATGCCAGATTTGATTTGAACTGGTGATATTAGACCATAAGCTATAATTACTTTAGCTAGTTAAGAGGTGTGTAGTTCAGTTATTAAGTTGATTCCAGAAGCAAGAATGCTAATTCTGTAGCAAGCATCTTGCAGACATTTTATATTAATTCTATCAAAGGCTTTGGACATGACTTGAAACAATATCCATGCTTCTTTATTATAGAAAATATAGTGTTCGATTGTGTTATGTAGAATTTGAATTGGAGTATGTGTTAAAGAATTTTTGGAAGCTATGAAGTTTAGATGGAAAAGAAGGTTGTTTGATGAAATTATTTTGTCTAATTGGTTGTTAAAGATTTTTGTAAAGATTTTTTTAACAGGTTCAATAATGGAAATAGGTCAGACTTGGTTAAGTGTAAAATCCTAGTTAGATTTTTTTGGAATAAGAAAAATATTTAAAGATTTCTATTCTGTTGAGATTTTTTGTAGTTGGAAACATTTGTCAATAAAGGATTTGAGAGTATTTTGTACTAAAGAGCTTGTATATTTGACATGTTCATAGCAGATCTCTAAAGAGCCTGCTACCTTTTGGTTTGAAAGATTTGAAATTATTTCAGACTATTCTTCATCTGTAATTGTTTCAAATAGATTATTATAGTTTGGTTTGAGTTCTGGATATGGGTGATAAAGTTGGCTGAAGTTAGGGGGGATTGGGTGTAGAGGTTTTTCTGAGAAATAATTTGAAAAATGATTATGAATTTGGTTTAAAATTTTATTATATTCTGTTAATAGGGAATCATTAAGTAAGAAACGGTTGATATTAATATTGTTTTGTTTCTCAAGTATGTTTTTATAGAAAAGTTTGGGTGTTTCTTTGAAGGTTTTGTTATGATTTTCTATTTTTTGTTTAATTTTATTGTAAAGGTTTTGTTAGTATTAATGGTTAAAAGAGGATTTGACAAGTTGGAATTCATTTTTGATTTGGATATGGGTTGGATGTTTGGTTTGTAGTAAGTTTTTAGGGTATTGGGTTAGGTATTGGTCAAGTAGACTGAAGAAGTTGAAAGAGTGAAAGTAGTTTTTAAAAAATTGAATTTGTTTGTATCTGTAAAAAAATAGTGGTTTTTTTGAGAGTAGGGAGTTTTGAATTTCTTTAATTGTTTTGATTTTTTTGAAGAGAATGTATCTACATCAGCAAAATTAATAGAGCGAAATATTTTGAAATAATTTATGAACCATAAAAAAGGCGTAATATTATATAAAATATTGTGAAATATTGCGAAATATAAGATTACGAAATATTACGTAAGATATTAAAAAATATTACATAAAAAATTATGCAAAATAACATAAGATATTTCAAAATAATTTGAAAAAGTTTGAGTATAAATAAGATATTTAAAATAATAAATTAATTCAAAATATATCAAATCATTAAAAATAATATA